TTTTCATGGTGGTAGGAGTGGTGGCAGAGGTGAGGTCTGTTTCTCATGGGCAGCTGAGCTGTGGTTCTAGGAGTGGAAGCTGGCAGGCTGATCACCCAATATCTGAAGGGCTTGTGACCACAGTACAAATGGAGGCCCACATAGCATATACCTAAATATTTAAAAGTTACAAATCAAGCTGACAGACTGCCAAATAAAAATGGTCTCTTTTACCATCTTGAAAAACATACTTTCAAAACAACTTGGAGACCAGGTTCAAATTTAGAATTCTTGGAATCCTTGGAGTTCCTTGATGGAGAGATGTGGCAACGGGAGAGCCAAGCTCCAGTCCCAACTTGTCCACCCACTTTCTTCCCTTACTAACCTCAGTTTCAATTGCACCATGAAGGGTCTCATAAACCTGATGTAGACACCCCAGCCCCACACATAAAAGTTTCTCTCATGTTATCTGGCAATAGCTACTGCATGGTCATTTGCTGGACCTAGTAGCGTGCACAGCAATGACATAGTCTATCATGGGAAGGACAGGTCTAAGGAAGAGGTCTGTATGGATTCTTGAAGTTGCTTGGGGCCTTTTGGGCAGGGGATTCTCCAGTTTTCAATCCCTGACATGTAAGCACTAGCTCCAGGAGGGCATGCCCCCTTAGCCTTGAGTACTGTTTATGCCACATCCAGAGGTATGACTGGAAGAGGGACGGAACAAGGTCCCCTAAACCATGCACTATAGGACAAGGGCCTCAGTTATCTGGATGTTAGGGTGGTACTGGCATTTGGCATCCCCTTCTGTGCCACCACGCTGTCTTGGAGGGCTGTCTGGACTGTCCTGGCTCTCTTGCATGCTTTGCCAGTGGTTTGGCTGCATAGGCCCCCTTATTCTCTCATTTTCTGTACCTTCAGGGTTTTTTTGTTTTGTTTTGTTTTGTTTTTTAATAACTTACTTGCCAAAACCGGTTTGGCTCAGTGGATAGAGCATCGGTCTGCGGACTGAAAGGTCCCAGGTTCGATTCTGGTCAAGGGCATGTACCTGGTTGCGGGCACATCCCCAGTGGGGGCTGTGCAGGAGGCAGCTGATGGATGTTTCTCTCTCATCGATTTTTCTAGCTCTATCCCTCTTCTTTCATCTCTGTAAAAAAAATCAATAAAATACATTAAAAAAATAACTTACTTTTCTGTTTAAATCATCTAGTGATTTTCAGTGGCTTGAAAGTAAGAATCCTGATTGGTAACTTTGTTTATTTGCCCTTTTTTGGGTGGCGGTAACTCTATATCATGGCAGCTCTGAGCTTGCTGAGGGCCCCACTCTCACAGACATTCCGATACTTAGGGCTGCCATGGCAGGAGGCGCCATTTACACACACTCCAGCGAAAACGGTGTCCCTGGAATGCGCAATGGTGCTGTCCCGCCTGACAGGCATGGGTGCTCCTGACAGCGTTTCCCAGGAGGAATGGTGGCCTGATAGTGATGGGGGGACCTTGACATCAGTGGAGTCCTGTCAGCAATGGGGGCACCAATAGGCATTGGTATGACCTGTCAGGGCTCCCGAATTGATGGAGGGCTTGAGTGTGGTGCCCCTGTGGGAACGGGTGGCTTCCTTTTGGGGGAGGATCCTTGAAATGATGGTCTGACAGGTATGGGATCAGCAAGGTGGTTGGGGTTTTGGTAAGTGTTGGGTTCAGATTTCCGGGGACTACGGTTCTGATATCCAGAGCGCTGGGGGGTAAAGCCACCCGCTTTGGTGGGTTGGAGCCCAGGGCAGCTCATATTTTCGCCCCCCACCCTGACCCCCCGGAACCATGGGTCATAGGAACAGAAGCAGGGCTGGGTGTCTGACTCTCTCATCCACTCTGATCCTCAGAGTCTCTGCCCTAACCTTTGTCATTCTCCCCTGTCCTGCCTATTCCTGACCCCTCAGGAGATAGAAGTTATCCTTGGAGAGGGTCATTCAGGAGTCTAATCTCACTCCTGAGGATTTGAACAGATGACTTAGGCTTGCCCAATCAGAAACGTCTTTCAAGGGACTACAGATTTCCTGGGACTACGGTTCTGATATCCAGAGCCCTGGGGTTAAAGCCGTCCTAGTGAGATGCTCTGCTCTGAAGAGGTACCCCCTCCTCGCCCCCCCCCCAGAGACCTGCCCCTTTTAGAAGCCTTGCCCACAGGCCCCTTGGTCCTGCCCCTACTCCCACCCTTCAGATCCCAATGCCGCCCTGTCCCTTCATTCCCATTTTTATTGCAACATCACCTGGCCTCTGTTACTCCCTGAGAATGGAGGTAAGAAGGCAGGCACAGCTGTAGCCTGATCCCTTCTCCACTGTTCCACTTGGAGAAACTGAGGCCTGGGCAGGCCTCGAGAAACTGTGCCTACTTCCTCCGGGAGACTCTGGGGAAACCAGTTCCCCTTCTGCTGGAGAGGCCCAGGAGGCAGGAGGCCCTCCAGGGGCTTCTGTGTCTGGCTCAAGCACTGGGGTCTTGCCTGAGGCCTTCAGCTTCTCTTCTTGTTTCCCCCCAACTCTTCCTGGCAGGTCAAGCCCAAGTGGACATCGCAGACCCCAGCCCTCTTCCCAAGTGCTACCCACCAGACCGACTTGGGCTGCAATCTCAGCATTGTCTGTCATTCTGCCTCTCCATGCCTTGGTTTCCTCAGACATAGAATGGAACCAGTGATCCCCAACTTATAGCGTTGTTTAAGGATGCAGTATGCCATACACGTAAAGGACCCAGCTTGGAGGCTGGCACATGGTCAGTACCTCACAATAATGGCTTTCCCTCTTTTCCTGAGGGCCGCTTCCTCAGACCTGGGCCTGCTGTATTGCTCCCCATTTTTACTTAGGAGATGGGTCAACTAAGGGAGGCAGTGTATGTAGTACAGATTCTGAAGCCAAACTGCCCAGCGAGGACCCTCCGCTCTGCGGCTTTACCAGCTGTCCAGCCTGGGGAAGTTACATGCGAATGCCAGGAGCTCCGAAGGCAGTGCCCGGCACCTATTGAGCACTTAGGGGTGAATTAACTGGTACTACAGAGCCTTCTCCTACCCCATGGGTGAAGTCTCAGTGGCCATCGAGCCAGTTCTCTAATCAGAGAGGTGCCTGCTTGGTTTTATGGAGGGGCCCGTGAAGGAAACTCCCTACTTGGGAACCCTGTCCCTCTGTGAGACTAATTCCAAGGGTTTCTGGCTGGTTCTGAGTTTCCCGGAGGCCAGAGAAGGGGGGCACAAGGGTGGGGGCTTACCAAGAAGTTGACACGAGATGATGAAAATATGATCAAAACTGCGTGGGGCTGGCTGGCTCTGACCAATTACCCACAACACCACTGTGAGAACTGGATGTGCTCCAGGTGCATTGTGGGAAAGAGCCATGCTCATTCCATTTGTTCTGTGCCAGCCCCTGGAAACTTTATCAATAGACAGGATGGGGACTGTCAACAATAAATTAAAAAAAAAAAAAAAAAAAAAAAAAAAAAAAAACCGGGCAGGGAGCTTTTTGTCCGCCGATAAAGCAGGGATGACAGGTCCCTTTAGGGAGATGCTGGCTGTTGGGTAGAGAGGTCTCACTCGGCTGCTGGCCTTAAACCTGTAGCAGGGGGGCGGCTGTCTCCAGCCCCCCAGCCCTGAGCTGCTCCATCTCTCCTCTGGCTGCCCAAGGAGGCATGAGGTGGGCTCCTCACATGGGCCCAGCCTGGCCTCCAGCTGGCTGGGAGTGGGGACCCCGTCGTGCCCTCCCCCATCCCCGGAGGACCTTCAAGCCAGTTTGCTGCCCGCCCCGTGCCCACACTGCCCATTAAAGATGGTGTCAGATAAAAAACAAACAAACAAAAAAGCCTGTAGCAGGTACCATGTGAAAGGTTTTCTTAAACCAGCGGTCGCCAACCTTTTGGACCTCGTGGACCACTCGTTGGTGACCCATCACCCTAGAGAGAAAGGTGTTTACTTATAGGCAGGTAGCAAGGTCCCCGTATTCTGATTGAGGAGCTAGGAGTCCACACCACCCCTTAGCTGGTGGCAGCTTCATCATTGTCAGGGGGGCAGATTGGCTTCTGGCCCACCAGAACTCAGGATAAATAAATGCCACAGCTCTGGCCGGTGTGGCCCAGTTGGTTGAGCTTCATCCTGTGTCCTGAAAGGTTGCAGGTTTGATTCTGGTTGGTTGCCTGCAGGAGGCAGCTGATCAGTGTTTCTCTCTCATTAATGTTTCTCTCTTACCGATGTTTCTCTCTCTCCCTCTCCCTTATTCTTTTTCTCTAAAAAACAAACAAACAACCAACTCACAAACAAAACAACCCTAACCAGTTTGGCTCAGTGGATAGAGCGTCGGCCTGTGGACTGAAAGGTCCCAGGTTTGATTCCGGTCAAGGGCATGTACATTGGTTGCAGGCACAACCCCAGTAGGAGGTGTGCGGGAGGCAGCTGATCGATGTCTCTCTCTCATTGATGTTTCTATTCCTTTCCCTTTCTCTCTGTAAAAAAAAAAAATTAAAAAAAATCAATAAAATATATTAACAAAACAACAACAATAAAAAGGTATTGAAAAAAAAAGACGCCACACTTACCAGTGAATGGCAGTGAAACAGAGAGCAGGTGTTGGCCGGATGAAGTCACAGAACTGAGAATGTTTGAGTGAGCCTGGACAAGCCCCGACTGCTGGGCTAAGCTCTCATGTTTCTGGTGGGCCATGAGAAAAACAAACCCGGCACCCAGAAGGATTGGTGGCTGGGCATGCGGACAAAGGAAGGGAGCAAGCCAGGAGGAAAGGCGCTGGGTGGAGAAAAGGCGGGAGGGCTGTGTACCTGCTCTCTCTGGGACTTTGCTGTGTGCCCCCAGACTTCCTCTAAGTTCTTCATTCTCGCTCACTCCTGCATTATCTCCCTTCCCGTCTCCGTTTCTCCTATGTTCCCAGAGGGACTCCCTGTGGCCCCAGGAAGTGACGACATGTATGAACATGTGTGACTTTGGGGAAGCCCGTATGAACCACAGGGGGATCCAAAGATTTATGGGTCAAGTCTTTGGAGGGACTAAAAAGTTAAGCCCCCCACCCCACTACACACACACACGCACACACACACACACACACACACACCTGACAGATGGGAGAACTAAAGCGTTGGGCAGGGGGCATGGTAAGGAAAAATCTTGCCTAGAATTGAACAGTGAGGGGTGGGAACAGGATTGTGGGACTGATGGCTGAGCACTGAGCTCAAGGCCTATTCCTGTAACACCCAGTGGCAGTGGCAGTGGCAGTGGCAGTGGCAGGGAAGTAGTGTCCAGGGACCTCTGTCCTGGTGGCATCTTTTTCAGGCCTCCCCTCCTCCCCTCCCCTACTCTATCTGCGTGTCCTCCTGAGGGTCCGGAGGGACAGTCCGTGTCTGCCTTTGTGGTTAGCTGGCCTCTGAGTGGCTTCACGAACTGAGGAGTTGAGGCAGGGTGCCCCCCACCCCCGACCTATGTTTGTTCTATGCCTGCTGGGGTGCAGGGGATAGAATAAAAATGGCATTCACACCTGGGGCCTTTGAACTCCATGGCTGGCTGGCTTGATGGATGGTTTAATGGATGGATGTGTGTGTGCAGGGGAGGGTGGGGAGGGTGGATGGAGGTCTAATGGATGCAGGGACATTAGGTGGATGGATGCATGGATGCATGAATGCATGGGTAATTTCCCCCCAGGCAGCAGAGCCAAACTTCCCAGCCATAACAGTGTTCTTGAGAAATCCCCATCCCTTCCACTCCTTGTAACTCTGAGACCTGAGAAGCCCGAGGCTGTAAACACCTGCTCTGGGAGCAGAGCGGGGAAGAAGCTGTCATGCTCTCAGCTCAGGGAGGCAGGTCTGGTGCAGGGAGCGGCACTAGGGCCAAGCCTTGGGCTGACCTGTGTCTGGGCCACCAACAAGTCCCAGCCCGGAGGGCAAAGCTCTCTCAGCACAATTAAGCCTGACCTTGTCGACCTCCCTAATTCCTTCCTAAGTAGCTAATGGGCTGTGGGAGGTGCAGCAAGTAGTGCCAAAACAAGAGCATTTGTATACATATCATTCTACCCTTGTTTGAATCGGACTGTAAAGTAAAGCATCTGCTTGCAGGCTGGGTCTCCTCCTTCAGGCACGGGAGATCCACGAACCCCAGCTGCTGTATTCTCTCGTCTGTCTCTTCTTCAATCCTTCGCCGCCCCACCTGGGGTTCACCCTTGGCCGTGCTGGCGCGGCACAGGCTGGCACAGGCTGGCACAGGCCTCTCCCTGCTTCTCCCCTTCCCAGGCTGCCCAGGCCTGTGCAGGCCTGGCTTTATTACCAGATGAGTTACATCTGGTAAAATGTTGGCCGCTCTTGCCAAGTGAACAAGCGTAGTCTGGCGTTCCAGTTGCCATTCAACCCCGGCGGCTCAGACTTGCTGCTCCCAGCTGGACCTCAGAGGCCATCGCTGGGAGGCCAGCCAGCTGTCCCAGGGGATTTCCCACACACAAGAGGTTTACTCCCCGCAGAGCTGCCCTAGGGTAAGGTGACCAGACGTCCCGCTTTTGGCGGGACAGCCCCGCTTTTTAACAATTTGTCCCGGGACGCGGGAGTTCTAGGACTTCCGTCTCCCAGAGCCGAGGTTCCTCCCCTGGGAACCCCCTCGCATCATTGTTGCCTCAGCCCTGGCGCCCCTATGGGCTTCGGGGGTTGGGGAGCTTCCTCCAGACAGAACCGCTCTAGCTCCTCTGGCTGCCCCTCCTTCTCTCCCACCTCTCACTCCTGGCTCCCAGGCTTGCCTGTCAGTATCCTGAGAAGGGTGGCCCCAGATGGCGCGGGCCCTGGCCCGGACTGTCTGGATGAGAGAGGAGAGCTGGCCTGGAGGTTAGAGTCGGTATGGACAGATGAGCCTGGCTGTGAAGTCTTTTCCACATATGTGTTCATTTTCTAGAAAAATCTCTGAGTGACTACTTTGTGCCAGGCAGCGTGCCGAGCACCAGGGAGTCAGTGGGAACCAAATAGACAAAAGCCCTGTCCCGGAAGGCTGACAAACTGTTCATTATAGCTCAGTGTGATGGGTGCTGTGAGGAGGAGGGACAGGGTCTCTGGGAGCTGGGGAGACAGGAAGGCTGTCTAACCCCAGCCCGGGGTCAGGAATGCTTCCTTGTCATCCAGACCTAGATGGGCAGTCCTCTGAGCAGGAGAGAGAAGAGCGTTCCAAACAGAGGGGATGGCATGGGTAGATGGGACCTTCCCTCAGGCAGCGGAGCCGGTCCCGGTCTCTCCTCTGGCCATGAGAGCAAGTTCCCTTCCCCCAGTGACACCTGATCCACGAGACGCCTTTGATGAGCTGAGGCTGGGAGGTGGAGAGAGTTCGGCTCGTTCAGGGGACTGACACAGAGTTAGTGTCGCTGAACCATGGAGTGTGACAGGATTTTGAGGAGACAGGCGGCGGGCCCTGGTTGTGGCAGCTTCTCTTGAGAATACAGGGCATTAGGAGAAGGTGGATGAGAAGGTCGCTCAGGTTGCAGAGGGGAAAGTAGATCCTGCCAAGCATGGGACAGAGTGCGGGATCTTGGAGGGAAGGTGGGGGAGCGTGGGAGGGTGGGAAGTAATCAACCAAAGACCTTGTGTGGATGTGTGCGTGGCCCACGGACACAGACAATGGGGTGGTAAGCCCCTGGGGTGTGAGGAGGGGTGTGAGGGTGGACTGGAGGGTGTCAATGGGGGCGAAAGGGGACATATGTAGTAGTTTCAACAATAAAGAATTATTAAAAAAAAAAAAAAAGGAAAGAATAGATCCTGCCATTCCATCTCCCCCTTCCTATCCAGTCATCCTGGACAAACAGCAAACAGACGAATCTGTGGTGCCAGTGGGCTTTATTGGAAGCATTGCAGTCTGGGTGTGGAGAAACTGTGCTCCTGCCACTCACCCTCTCACACTCACACTCACACTCACACTCACACTCACACTCACTCACACGACACTCCAGGCCCTGCCCGGCTTTGTCAGGTCCGGTGCAGAGGAGCTGAGGTTCTCTCTTCTGGTCCTTGGGTCTTCTGGACGGCAGCGATTCACATCCCTTCACCCATTCGCAGGGCTTCCTGGGAGGCTCAGGGGCTAACTGCTGTGGCCCTTGCTCTGGGGGAGGAAGGAGAGGGAGGTGTTGGGCTGGGGTCTCGGGCAGCGGTTCGGAGGGGGGAGGCCGGCGGGGAGGGCGAGCTTGCCTTGGCAGATTTCCTCAGCAGTCTGTGGATGATGCGGTTCACCCAGGGCTGGTCTGGCGGCGCGCAAAGCTTGCGACCTCTCTTGGTGGTGAACCTGGGGTCGGAGGTCAGAGGTCAGAGAGAACGGAGCCCTGGAACCCAGCTTCCTGGCAGACCCAGGTGTGTGGGGCAGAAGCTGAGGACCACATCCTAAAAGTGTCTCAGGGGCTTCCTTGAAGGGTTGGGCTTGGCCAGAAGAAGAGAGAGAAGGAGGCGGGGAGGGTGGGGGGGTCGATGGGAGGTGAGGCTTGATGCACTCCTCCCCACAACTCACAAGACAGCGGGCACTCGGCAGCCATCCTGGATGTGGAGGTACCGAAAGTCTCTCACGATATTCCCAGGGATGCGGGTCAGGGCCACAGACAGGCAGCAGTCTTCTGCATCGTTGGCACCACCCTGAGCTGGGTGGCCAGGGGCCAGAGAAGGTAGTGTTAGAACATAGGGACCCTGAGGAGGGAGGCCACAGCCCTCACTGGGATTCAGGACAGTTGTGTGTGTGTGTGTGTGTGTGTGTGTGCGCGCACACACAAAATTTATTGAAATACTTACACGCTCTTTGGTAAATAACTACCCCACAAATGCCTTCCTGCTGCCCCAATACCCCAGTCTCTCACTCAGGGCTTCTCGACTTCCCCACAAACAAAGAGTTAATGTTGGTCACAGCATTGAATTGACGGGGAAGGGGTGAGTGTGGAATAGGAGGCTGGGTTAGAGGATTTAGGAATTGTTAAATGTATTTTTAAAAATATATTTTATTGAGTTTTTACAGAGAGGAAGGGAGAGGGATAGAGAGCCAGAAACATCGATGAGAGAGAAACATCAACCAGCCGCCTGCTGCACACCCCCTTATCGAGGATGTGCCCGCAACCACTGTACATGCCCTTGACCGGAATCGAACCTGGGACCCTTCAATCCACAGACCGACGCTGTATCCACTGAGCCAAACCGGTTTCAGCTGATTTGTTAAATATTTTGACTATTAGTTCTGCCTCAGCATCTCTCATTATCCCCACCTTGAGCGAATACATTTCTCTCTTTCTGCCTGGGATACTGAGGCAGCAGGAAATAGAGCTCACAGAGAGAGGGGCAGCCAGAGGCCCTCCGATACGTGAGGAGACAGACACATGTTGGAATTCAGGGCCCAGATATACCCGCCCTCACTGGCGTACACACAGGGCACTCCAGGTTCACTGACCCAGCAGACCTAACTCCCAGCATCCCACGTGCCCAGCGCCGAGCAGTCTGGGGGCCAGACATCCCCTCTCCCCTCCCCGCCCCGCCAGCCTCCCCTCAGCCTTACCCGGGGAGGCCCACAGGACCAGCAGGCTGACGGCCAGCAGTGCGGCTGCAGGGGACGCCATGGAGGGTGAGCGGAGGCTGACGGACAGCGAGAGCAGAGTGTGCGTGTGAGTGTCTCTGAGCTTCGGCAGGAGACTGCGTGAGGCTGAGGTTGGCTGGGAGTTGGGATGCCACAGGCGTGCAGTGTGCAGGGGCCTGGAAGTCAGAGTGTGGAAGGCTGTGTGAGGTTGCGACTGCTTCTTATTTATGGACCAGAACTTTCACTCTCTCTCATAAAAAATTCCCCTCCAAATTCATTCTGTGGATTCCCCTTAAACCCCCCCCCCCAGCTCCGCCTCTTTCTGGGAATATGACCTTTCTTTCCCTCCCTCTTCCCTCCTCCCCCTCAGCAGCCTTGGCTTTAGCTCTGAGAATCTAAGAGGGCCTGAACTATTGTCGCAGTGGTGTGGTGGCATTTGCATTATGAACCACAGAGCTGGCCTTCAGGGGTGGTGGCCAGGATTGGGGGGGCTAGAGCAAGGAGCTGTACCCCCTTCTCTAGGTCGTTTTTGTAGTTGTTGTCAAGCCTCACGTGAGGATATTTTTCCCATTGATTTTCAGGAAGTGGAAGGGAGGGGGGATAGGGAGAGAGAGCAGGAGGAGGAAAGCTGGGGAGAGGGGAGAAAGTGAGAAGAGGAGAGAGAGGAGGACTGAGGGAAGAGAAAGAGAGAAACATCAATGTGAGAGAGACACGTTGATTGGTTGTCTCTTGCCTGTGCCCCAATGAGAGGATGGAACCTGCAACCCAGGTACACGCCCTTGACAAGGAATGGAACCAGCGACCCTTCAGTGCACAACTGATGCTCTAACCACGCGCAATACTGGCTAGGGCCCCCTTCCCTAGGTTTATCCCTCATCCTCATTCTGTTCTTTGTGGTTCTTCTCTTCTCTCTGGTGCAGGAGGAAAAGAAGGCTTCCTGGTGCCCTCAGCACAAGCATGGAGGCTGGGGTAGCCCCCAAGTCATCATGGTGCCTGCCCATCTGTCATCTGGGAACTAGGCCCTCCCTTGAGACAAGCAGAACTGAAAGGGCATGTTGCTTGGAAGGAGGCCCAGCACCCGGATCCCACAGGTCAGACCTTTAGGATTTAACTTCCTGGCTCAGTGAGCTCTGACCCTTTCTCTACTGACCAATTTCACTTGTCCGACACCTGGTCGATGCAATAGCTGGAGGGAGCCTGGCCAAGAACAGCCCCCTTCGTCTCTCCCCTCCTCTCCAGCCTGGGAACCAAGAGGGGATTTCTAAGGAGAGAAGCTGGCCAGCTCATATTCAGACAGATTTCCAAATTTCAAGGAATTAACAGATGGGGAAGGGGACAAGCGATTTCCCATCCTTATAAGAAAGATTAGAGATAGGCCAGGAGAGAAGGCCTCAAAAGAGAAATTAGCTGAAACTGGTTTGGCTCAGTGGATAGAGGGTCGGTCTGCGGACTGATGCTCTATTCCGGTCAAGGTTCGATTTCGGTCAAGGGCATGTACATTGGTTGCGGGCACATCCCCAGTGGGGGTGTGCAGGAGGCAGCTGGTTGATATTTCTCTCTCATCAATGTTTCTAACTCTCTATCCCTCTCCCTTCCTCTCTGTAAAAAATCAATAAAATACTCTCTCTGCCTAAACCGGTTTGGCTCAGTGGATAGAGCCTCGGCCTGTGGACTGACAGGTCCCAGGTTCAATTCCAGTCAAGGGCATGTACCTTGGTTGTGGGCACATCCCCAGTAGGGGGTGTGCAAGAGGCAGCTGATTGATGATTCTCTCTCATCGATGTTTCTAACTCTCTATTCCTCTCTCTTCCTCTCTGTAAAAAAATCAATAAAATATATTAAAAAAATAAAATTAAAATACAAAATCAATAAAATATGTACATTAAAATAAAGAGAAATTAATATGTGGGATACCCATTCAATCAGCCCAGCTAAACACTGGACCCTCTTCTGGATGGGGTGGTGATTCCCTCATAAGTTTTTAACTTATCTTTCTTTCAATCATTAATAATAACAATAATAGTAGTATTAGCATTCATGTTTCTTTACTATATTCTAGGTAATATAGTAATATAATCCATATTAAGGACTTTACCACTATTGTCTTGCTTAACTTTCCCAAGAAAACCATAAAGTCATTTTTATTATTATATTACTGGAGGCCCGGTGCACAAAATTTGTGTGGAGCCCCACAAATGCCTTCCCGCTGCCCCATTAGCCCAATCTCTGAGGGTTGACCCTCAGTCCAGCCTGCACCTTCTCCAATCTGGGACCCTTTGGGGAATGTCCAACTGTTGGTTTAGGCCCAATCCCGGCAGTCAGACGTCCCTCTCACAATCTGGGACTGCTAGCTCCCAACTGCTCACTTTCTTGCCTGCCTGCCTGATTGCCACTAACTGCTCCCTTGCCAGCCCGATTGCCTCCAACTGCCCTCCCCTGCTGGCCCAGTAACCCCCAACTGCTCTCCTCTGCTGATCTGATCACCCACAGCTACCCTCCCCTGCCGGCCATCTTGTGGCAGCCATCTTTGACCACATGTGGGCAGCCATTTTGTACAAGAGCATGAGGGTCAATTTGCATATTACCTCTTTATTATATAGGATTATATGTGTTTTACACATACTTAGAATACTAGGTCACACAGCAAACAAGTGCCTTGAATCTAGGTGTATTTTACTGTAAAATTTACACTCTTCTACTGTCCCATACTGCCTGCCTACCACCTGTCCATTGATCATAGATGAGTAGAGAGGAGTAAGACTCCACAGTTAGCATGTCTGGGTTGGGATTCAGATCCTACCACTTGCTAGCTGTGAGACCATGTGCAAATGATCCAGTTTTTGTATCTCAGTGTCCTTATCTGTAAATCAGGAATGGTAATAGACCTACTTCTTGGGATAAAGTTAGGTAATCTGAGTCAAGGATTTAGTTTAGGCTGGCATATAATAAACATTCATTAACTACTAACCATTATTAAAATGTACCCTTTTATGGAAATATTTGTCAGTTAATTCATCTAGCCATCTTTCTACTGAGCTACCCATCTTCTTCATCACTTATCCACCAGTGGTTCTGATTAGTCTCTTTTGTCCCCTTAACCCCATTCCCCAACCCCTGCCCCATTATCCACTCTTCTGTGCCCTGCTCTGGACTCTGGAAGGCTAACCTTTGCACTCAGCATTACTTAAGACCCCTTGCCCTCTAGCTCTTGTTTGGATTTGGCCCACTGGAGGCCAAGTCAGTTGAAGTATGAATTCCGCAAATCCTTCCTCTTTCTGCAGTTCTGAAAGTGAACAATTTCCTCTGGGGCAGTTGTTCTCAAAGAACTGTCTTTGGACAGCAATAGCAGCAGCAGCACCGGGGACTTGTTAGAAATGCCGATTCTCAGGTCCTGCTCCAGACCTCCTGGAGTAATCTGCATGTTGACACACCCTCCAGGGACCCTTATCTGTGCTGAACTGTGAGAAGCACTGATTGACCATTTACAGATGCATTCGGGCGGCTTCCTCTTCATTAGTCTGTCCTTCCTCTTACTCCCTCAGGCCTTGGTACAGTAATAACTTCCCAGTATTTGTAAACCCTGAGTGTTTCATCATCCCCTGTTGGTTCCTTAATCCTGACTCTACATCTTAAAAAAATATATTTTATTGATTTTTGTACAGAGTGGAAGGGAGAGAGATAGAAAGTTCGAAACATCAATGAGAGAGAGTCATCGATCAGCTGCCTCTTGCACACCTCCTACTGGGGATATGCCCGCAACCAAGGTACATGCCCTTGACCGGAATCGAACCTGGGGCTCTTCAGTCCCCAAGCCGACGCTCTATCCATTGAGCCAAACCGGTCCCGGCCTGACTCTACATCTTAAATAGATTATTAAAATCCTTTATTAAAATCTTTCTGGTTAAATTTTATTTTTAAAATATATTTTATTGATTTTTTTTTTGAAACATCAATCAGCTGCCTCCTGCACACTCCCCACTGGCTATGTGCCTGCAACCAAGGTAGATGCCCTTGACCGGAATCGAACCTGAGACCCTACAGTCCTCAGGCTGACGCTCCATCCACTGAGCCAAACCAGCCAGGGCTGGTTAAACTTTTGAGTGTGCCATCTGTTTTGTGCCGCCAGATACAGTAAATGTACCAGAAGAGATCCCAGGAAATAGACACCCAAAATGGACTGGGTTGTTCATATGTCCGATAAGCAAACAGATAATTTCCTTGCATAAGACAAGAGGACACTAATAATTTGGAGCACGAGAAGCATCACAATCACTCAGACTATCATCAGTGATAGTCTAGGGTGGAAAGCTGGTGGAGGGAGAGGCATTAGGAGATAAAACGCTCGAGGCACTTGATCGCTATGGTCACAAATGGTGATTTCAAATGGTGATTACATATATTGTTGGGTGGGAAGCCTGTTTCTTTTCTTTTTCTTTCTTTCTTTCCTTCTTTCTTTCTTTCTTTCCTTCTTTCTTTCTTTCTTTCTTTCTTTCTTTCTTTCTTTCTTTCTTTCTTTCTTCTTTTTTTTTTTTTTAGAGATGATTGATTTTTTAAATAATTGATTTCAGAGAGGAAGGAAGAGGGAGAGATAGAAAATCAATGATGAGAGAGAATCATTGATTGGCTGCCCCCTGGGAAACCCCTCCCCCCCAGGATAGAGTATGCAACCCTGGCTTGTGCCCTGACTGGGAATTAAACCCTGACCTCCTGGTTCATAGGTGGACACTCACCCACTGAGCCACGTCGGCCCAGCTGGGCAGCCTGCTTCTGATTGTGCTAGCAAAATTACATGAGAAAAAGGTAAATTTAAGATCATGAACTTCTAACTTAAGGTTTGGGTGGCGATCCCAACAACTATTATGGAATTCTTAAGGAATCTTTATTTTATGTGACTACATGGCAGATATGGCTAAGGATCAAGTCCAAGACCTGATGATTATGGTGTAGAGTTGCAACACCAGGTGAATACCCAACCCCACCACATCCCTTATGCTAGAATAAGGGCATTGTTGAGAAGGAGTAGGACTCTGAGACTTGGTAAGGGGGCATTTAGACAGAGATGAACAAAGCTGGGAATTTGGACTTTCAAATCCCTTTGAATCTTCTTTGCTGGTAGCAGAACATCCTCCCTCTCCCTCTCTCTGAAAACTGTGAATGCTACAGCCTTCCACATCATTAAAAAAGTTATTAGCCTGGCCAATGTGGCTCAGTGGTTGAGCATGGATCCATGAACCAAGATGTCA